AAGTCTCAATACGTGCATTTGGTTTTGTCATTTAGATGTTGTAATGATAGAGAGATTAGCCAAAGTATGAGAGATTAGCCAATGGGGGAGAGATTAGACAAGTGATTGAGAGATTAATGTTTGAGAGATTAGTCAAGTGATTGAGAGATTAGCTAATGTTTGAGAGATTAGCCAGTGATTGAGAGATGCAATGATAGAGTGATTAGCCAATTTGTGAGAGATTAGTCAATGGGTAAGAGATTAGCCAGTGATTGAGAGATTAGCAATGGGTGAGAGATTAGCCTGTGATTTAGAGATTAGCCAATGATTGAGAGATTAGCCAATGGGTGGGAGATTAGTCAATGATTATGAGATTAGCCAATGGGTGGGAGATTCGCCAGTGGGTTAGGAATTAGCCACTTTTTAAAACTTTCAAGCTTGTAAACATGTATTCAATACGCACATCAGATACAAGTATACTTAAAAACTTCAATGCTAGTATTGCTGCTATTTAGTTGGACATGGAGCAATGGAGTTACAGATCAGTTAGTTATACATCGTATTATAGTGTTTATTGTTTCACTAATTGCTATACATCATATTATGGTGTTTACAATTTCGCTAATAAATTGGATCTTATCCAGATAAGCCGCGACAAAAAGCTAGCTCCCTTTTCTGCATATCTGCACGAGATTACCAAAAAGTTCGAACCAAAACTCTAACCCTAACTTTCATCCTGAATCCAACTCAGTGTAATGTTGTTATACCGAACTAACAGAAACACATGGACTCTACTTCACCCGCATCGTGAGTCGTCATGTATGAAGTATACCAGATGTTAAAGTTTACCGTAATCATAACATAAAGTTACACCCAGTAACGCAATTAAGCCGAGTTTAATTAATTAGTGACGTCCGGGTTATCTAACTGATAACCTATCCCACAAATTAAACGCGCTACACCAGTGACATTTTAATTTTTACAAACGACGAGCTGGATTTAAATGTGGAGTCTTGGTGGAGCATGTGGCATTAGAATGAGTGGAGCTATTTAAAACCGCTACACAAGTTTGATATTCACCGCATTAAAACGCACAGCTGATTATTTTTTTTTCTCAAGAACCGTAACTGCGTTTTCACCGCAGCACACGTAAGCAGGAGTTGTCTGTTGCTGCTTGTAGTTTAGCAGTCATGGAGGGAGACGGCTGACGGTTTTTAGGGGGGAGAAAAATGGCCTCTGGACTATTTTAATGCCATTTTTTATTTTCGTTTCGACCAACTGGTTTTCGAGTTAGAAGTACTTTTTAAAAAAAATAATAAAAAATTAAAGTGATTTTGTTAATTTATTCGTAAAGTGCAGTAATAATTCGAGAACTGTTTACGTCATATTTCTACTCTGGAATATCTTACCTGTTTACTCACCTGTGCTGTGTAGGGCGAACTAGCACGCGTGCTTTGGTTCCAGTTGGTTTCATGTGGTCCAAAGCTTAACTTTAAATAGAAAGTGTAGGTATTTTTGTGTGTGAGTACATGTCTTGTACATTATACTATCGTGTTTAATAGATACTTAGCGTTAGCTAAAAGGACTAATATGGTTATAACGATATTTCAGATTAAACCAAACACTTCTTTAAAAACGCTTACCCTTTATCTTACCAAAGTTTTAACATTTAATCTATATATTCCCCATATCCCACCCCCTATTTGTAAACTTATTCTATACATTAAAATTAATATTATATCACACGGTAACTAACTTTAGTTTAAAGGCATATCTTAGAAAACTGAAACTGTTTTATAATCGGGAATCATTTTATAAGAGACTTGGGTAAGGCGTTTAGGCATGTTGGTGTTAATTAGGGTCAAGTTCTATTGTCGGTATTTATTTTGTTTTATTCAAACATTATAAATCTACATATTTAAGCTGGTCTTTTTGTATCCACGAAATAGAATTATGGTTCTATTTTTAAATTACCGTAAAATAAAGTATTTCATCAAATTTTTAGATCTTTTTTTTCCCCGAGAAACAAAAGATATAACGGGAATTTCCCAAAGTGACCTTATACAATGAAAACCAATTTTCACCAATCAAAACTGAATACTAGGGCATGCGATGTAAAAACTAGGCAATCTATTTTTAAACAATTTAGTTCATAGTGGATTTCTGGTTTCTATTTAGATACTTGCAGTTGTTTTTTTTTTTAGTTCTATTAATAGTTTTGATTGGCTCATATTGTAATCAGTGATGTAAGTCTATGGCTAATTTGTAAGAGCTTTTGTGTTTCGTTTAACAAATGTAATTCAAATATTTTTTTTAAAAAAGGTAAATCATTACAATAAAACTGTTATGCTTCGACTAATTTTGTAGAGTTTATGGTTTTAAATATGAAAGAAATGGCTTTTGACTATACAATTATTTGTAGGATCATGAAGAAGACTCACAGTTTAATTGTAATACTTGAAGCGATTGAGTGAATTTTAAAACTTATTTTTAGTTTCTTGTAATATTTTGGATGATCTAGATCTGCAATCATTATACTCGGAGATGAAAACAAAATTTCCCCCATGTGTGTGTGCGCGAAGTTCAACTACCTAAAGACGGTTATTACTCACTTCCGGTGGCCCGTGCAGTGTGTAGGGAAAAAAAGGGGTGGTGTAGGGGGAGTGAGTAGACTTAATTGTAGGAATTTAGTTTAGAGGGGAGTAGGGGGGCGGAAAGGGCGAGTGTTGCTCATTTTTATTTATTTATATTTTATTTTAAGCTGAAAGAGACTGAAGTGCACAATTCGTGTGTGTAGTTGGAGTGGAGGAGGGGGTGGGAGTCTAAAATTTAAAATTCGTGTTGAGGTAATAAATGTATGACCCCCTACTGTTAGTGAGTGTGGTTGGACGGGCGAGGAGGAGGGTGGGGGGTGGGGGTCAAAAAATGAAATATTTTTGGTTTGACGTCATAAATGTATGACCTCACTGTTCTTGTGTGGGGTTGGGCGGATATGGGGGGGGGGGGGGGGGGTGGGAAGGGGTGGAATTAATGGCTGCAAGAAATTAATAATTAGTAGATGATGATTGCAGTGTTTCTTCCAGAGTTTTCTCTGGGGAGACGAGGGGGGGTGGGGTGGGGGCGGACACTGGTACACGTATATATTTTCTATATAAATTATGTTTCGTTTAGTGGGAGCGGGTAGAGGTTTTTTGGGGGGGAGGGTGGGAGGAAAGCCCCCTACCCCCAACCCCGAAGAGATGCCTGGATGTAACTGGTTGATTGACAAGATAATTATTAGTTTGTGGGTTACATTGACCTCCGACAAAAGTATTAAAATAATAAAATTTGATTGCATGCAAAGTTAATTATAATTATATCAGATGTGTGTCTTGACCTCCACTAAGCCCCAGAGACTCACCTAACACTTGGTGTTTTATCGAACCCAGTTTATGTGTAGATCCTTAATTTTTAACCTATGTGGTGATTACAATGCATCACTCCAAATGTTAGTTGTAATTCGTTTTTAAGATAGAACAAGCGCCTAATATAGATATAGGATTAAACTGTAAGTTTCTATATAAATATTCACCGAAATTCCCGAAACTATTTATAACCTTGACATTTTTTTCTCTAAAATTAAACTGTTGTGTTGAAAAAGGAAGCTTTAAATTTTTGTCCTCTCAAAAACTCATGTTGCGTAACTACATTTCCCTTTTCAATTTAAAATGTCACAGTTAAGCTGATTATATAATTAGTCCTTTAATTAGACCAGTGCTAAGTGTTAAACTAGAGATGAGCCGGTCGATGCGTATCTCTGTTTACTAAACACATTGCCATAATTTGTGTTTCCTTTAAAACACTCTCTAGCAAATCTGAATCTACGTTTAGTTTGCAACTACATAGTTGAAATGTGTGAATACAAAGTGTGTAGTGATTTTTTAAAAGAGTTTCTGTGTTAAAGCGAATTAGGTAGTAAGAAGTGTAGTGTTAAAATTCGAGGGATAAAAAATATTCAAAATTCTGTGACGTGTGTGTTTATAACGTGCCGGTAACGCCGTGTGGAATTTCGCAGCACGTGAGTTTACACGCAGGCGAGGATTTCTTGTCGTTTTATTTCTGGTGATTTCTTTTAAAATTCTATTTTTATACTCTACCCGTAGCATATCCCTGCCCGAAGCAGTGCACAGAAATAACAACCAATTAAAATGAAGGGTCACCTGTTTAGCAGTGTAAGCCCGAGTCGTAGAGGGGAGCCGTACGGCGCTTATCTCCCGGCTCTTGCCTCTACAACCTCTGGCCAACTGTGTATATGACATTAAAGTTTAGAGAAACACTATTCTACTATTTTTAAAACATTTTTTTCTCGATTCTCTACTTTATTTCTTATTCTTAAAACTATTACTTACAAGAAATTTATAAATCTAAAACTATAATTTGCAACTAAAAAGGAGAAACTGAGAAGACTAGTTTTGAGGAAGTTTATCAAAGTGTTTTGTTAACAATAGGACTGTATTGAAACTATAACCAGACAGTAGTTGCTAAAGAAACAGGAAGTCACAAAGAAATACAGACATCCATACGAGTGTAATTAAGCCAAGTATCGTCTTAGTACCAAGTAGCCCTTAGAAGCTTAATTAAACCAAGGATTGTTCTAGAACCAAGAGGTCCGCAGGAGCTTGGTTAAACAAAGGATCTTCATTGAACGAAAAACGTCCGTAGTAGTTTAGTTTAACCAAGGATTGTCATCGAACCCAGAAGCCTTAAAGAACCAAAAACCCCAAAGGAACTCTTGTCATAGAAGCCAGAGGCATCAGAGAACGTCGTAGAAACAAGCCCTAAGTAAAACTCCCTTAGGAGCGCCACACTACCAAGAAACCCTCAACAGCGCCATAGCACTAAGAAACCTGTAACGGCACCCTAGCACCAAGAAGCCTGTAACAGCATCATAGCACCAAGAAGCCTGTAACAGCACCCTAGCAACAAGAGGCCTGTAACAGCATTATAGCACCAAGAAGCCTGTAATAGCACCATAGAACCAAGAAGCCTAGAACAGCACCCTAGCACCAAGAAGCCTGTAACAGCCACCTATCACCAAGAAGCCTAGAACAGCACCCTAGCACCAAGAAGCCTAGAACAGCACCCTAGCACCAAGAAGCCTGTAACAGCACCCTAGCACCAAGAAGCCTGTAAAAGCACCCTAGCACCAAGAAGCCTGTAGGAGCGTCATGCCAGCGCTGCCATGCTAAAGTTTGTCACGACCAAACCACCACGCGCGCGCTCCTCCAGCGGATCGGGAACTCCCGACCGTGACGTCACACACCGCTCGTCTCGAGAGACCTCGCCCTCGGCGTCCTCCCTGCGAGCCCACCAGTCGCCTCGGTTCGTCAGAAAGCACCACTCGTTCTCCCAGCCTCACCACTACCCCGACCCCAAGGGCGGGGTCCCGGCGCCGTACCGTCAGGGATCGAAAACCCCGTTTGTCACGCTCACCTCCGGGGACGCAGCTTCTCGACAACGCGGTGACACTTCAAGGCTGTATCAAGCTCCACCGGAGTTCAGATCGCAGGATAACCTTTACCTTCAGCAGAGGAACGCCACGCCATCTCACCAGCAGCAGATGCGGCAGCACCTACAGCCGTCTGCCTTCCAGAACACGAAGTACTCCTACAAGCAAGCCACGCCCAGCGAATCTTCCGGTCAGTACGCAACCCTCTACTTCCCTCCAACCAACTCGTCCTTCCAGTCATCCAAAGAAAACAAATTTCCCCTAGAGCTGAAGGGACTGTACTCTGTCAATAAAGAAAAACCTCACGTCTCGTTTGCTGAGCAACCCCAAGAAACTCCAGTTCCTTCACAACAACTAGATTCGAAATATTCAGGGGCGACAACTCTCACTAGCACAGCCTCATCGTCTCAAACTAGCGCCCAAACTAAAGATCTTTTTGCAAAGAAACCATCTCCTTCCTTCCCCAGACGCCAAACGGTCAACCAATCATACACCGACGCCACCACATCTAGGTCAGTAGGTCAGCCTTCTAGCCAATCAACAGCGCCCGTTACTCCCCATTGGACGTTGGACACTAAAGATTCAAGAGAACCTGCCCAGACTTCTTCTACTAGAGACCAGTACCCGTCATCAAGAGAGCTCTACGTGGCTTTCCCCAAAGAATCTTTTTACTCATCTTCAAAAGAGGCACACCCCGCTTATACATCAGAACCCTACTCTACATTAACAAAAGAACCGCATCATCTTTTCTATAAAGAGCCTTATCCATCAGCACCAAAGGAGCAATATTCTACTATTAGAAAAGAGCAATACTCCACCGTCACTAAGGAGCCTTTTCCCGCTAGTAAAGAGCCCCATTCTACCAAAGAGCCCTATTCTACTGGTAAAGAGCTTTACTCTACTTTTACCAAGGAGCCTTATTCCACCAGAAGCGATCCCTATTCTACTATCCCAAAAGAGCCCTACCCTACAATCGGTAAAGAGCCTTACACGACCTTGACCCGTGAGCCTTACCCCACCCCCTCAGCCTCGCTGCCGCAGTCTCCCAGGCTCACCCACCGTGCCTTGGATACGTCATCCCAGCCTCAGCTTGACCCGCAGAGCCTATCGCACACCAGGTTGCCAGAGGTCAACAGGATGCCAGAGGTCAAACAAGTAGGTCAGCATGTTGCGCATGTGCATGAAATTATCCCCCCGTGAGGGGCACCGGGGTCATCGTGTCCTGACCTAAATAAAATAACAGTACTCGTCTGATGTTTATTCTATTTTTAGCCCTGCAGCTTTATGTAGTATTTAACATCATGTATGTTTTAATCTACTTGGTAAATAAGCTTCAGATGTACGTGTGGTTAAATAATTAAGTTGTGCCATGCGATTGTGAAAACGCACGTATAAAAATTTAAACCGGCTCTAAGGCATGTGGTATCCGTGTATCGCACGTGCTTAAATCGCTGATCAGGTGAGCACAGGTAAAGTGTTGGAGTGAGCAGTTTAACCGGGCAAGGTTATTGAATACATGACGAATAAAGGTAAAGTAAGGAGGGGGGGGGGTAGTTGGACATTGCCAAGTACAATACGTATTCATGTATTTGTAAAGTCTTTGTTTATGTAAGGTGAATGACTTATAAGAGAATGTTCTTTGGTAAGAAGCAAAAATTAATTAACTTACCAAATGGTCATTAGTCAGGTTAATTAAAAGAAAGTAAATTTCCATTTTCGAACAATATGTTTGACGATGTCGGGCGATGGAGAGCTCGGCTGCTCGCCCAAAGGTCTCGAGTTCGGATCTTGGTCAGAACTCGAAACTACAGGGCGTCGCTCGGTCAACCAATCTCTGATTGTAACCTGACTCACGTTAGGGAAAGGAAAAGACGGCTGGGCAAAGCTCCGATGACACTGTTCTTTCATATCCCGATGTCAAGAAATATAAACACTAAATACAGCCCAGACACCGATAGTATCACGGCTGTAGTCTGCATATATTACACTGCCGCTAGTACCATTATACTATTTGACCCACATGGTATACCCCCAATACACCCCCACTCCCCTAACCTCACACAGGTGCAAAACACATACACCTTCCGACGCCTCACCCCACAGGCCCTGTAACCCAAACAACCCCCCCCCCCCCCAATTAACGCTCCCATTAACCCCCTCTATTCCACCAACTTCCTCGCAAATTTGTTTACCCTACATCTGACCCACGACCGCCTCCCCCAAAAACCCGACCCCTAAACACCTTTGGCTTCTACATTAGCGAGGAATGTTTAAGCTAATCACATCCTCTTCAGTGTATTCCCGGGTATTCTCATGCAATAATTATTCCCAAGGCAAGGTTCTACATTGGACTCGGTCATAAACATTTTTTGTTATTTAACTACAAACTAATAAAACTAAATAATGTCGGCCTTATTTCCTGTCGGCCATTTGTCTTGTCTGACTTTTGGATGTCGGCCTTTTAGACGTCGACCTTATTTCCTACCGGCCTTTTTTCTTGTCGGTTTTTTGTCCGTGTCGGCCTTTAATCCGAGTCGGCCTTTTGTCCGGACACCCTAAATTATAAAACATACCCGCTCATATGTTAACTAACATTTCCTCTAATCCTACCCAAACCCCTTAACTTGTATAACTTCTTGTACTGCTAGCGACATAGCACACCCGGGTTTGAATTAAACAAATCGACGAGAATATTTTTTTTTGTAAATAGGGAATATCTACTGTTTATGTACATCGGGAGAAGCTGGTGGAGGGGTGGCGGGTCTGGTCAGTAGGTGGGGGGGGGCGGCTCTTCTCCTATATCAAGAGGCAATAAAACTGGAGATTCCTTTAATCCAAGAACTACCAACATCACTGTTTACATGAAACAGCAAACAGATGCATTCAGCACGTCATCAATAAGGTAACGCTGATGCAATCTGGCATTTCCTGGCCGAAACACCTGGCCACATCAACACGATAGTGAGCATCAATAGGGGGAGGGGGGGTAACATCTACGTTATTGCTGTACACAAATCTTCATACATCTCCTCAAAGCTTAATAAAAAAAATAGTGTTTTTCTGTGTATATATAATGTATATATAAATATGTATTTATGTTTATAAAAATACTGTATCTATAAATATATATATATATATATATATATATATATATATATATATATATATATATATATATATATATATATATATATATATATATATATATATATTTATATATATATATATATTTATATATATATATATATTTATATATATATATATATATTTATATATATATACATATAAAATGAAAATGTGGGCCCTATATTATTTGGCCAACAACAAAACCATACTGTATTTAAAAAAAAATAATTTAAAAAAAAGGTTTAAATATGCTTTAGACTATAAAATAGTTAAAAATACTGCTCAGAAAAGAAAAACATAAATCAAAGGACTTCAACTTTTTTTCTTTGCAAGAATATGTATGACTAAATAAAAATTGTTTATTGAGACAACAACATGTGGTCTAAACTTTATTTATGTTTAGTGGCATATTATTTTTACCGCCTTGTTTTTTTCCTCTCTAAATCAAAACAAGTCACACATTTATTTTCTCAACCCTAAGATCAGCCATCATCTTTTTTTTTGTGTATAATAATATAAAAAAAAAATTGATCTACAACAACAAACATGTCAGCCATGTTGAATCACGTGATAGACTGTCATCTCACGTGTAGTGTTACACGGATCCAGGTTGTTTTAAAAAAAAATCCTGACGCAGCTTATCTTCACGCGTTTGTTTAATAGGTCTTTAGCTTGCCAGAATCACATCTCTCCCGTACTGGGCTAGCTATAGATCAAGTCATAAACCCCCCCTCCCCGGACTATAATTTACACCCCCCCCCCACCCCCATTCCTATTTTAATCCCCCATGACGGGCAGGTCGGTAAAGTTATCACAGGACTGCGGCTCCAGAGCCAATTAGAGGAGCCAGGTAGGCCTCTTTTTTTTTTACGTAACTCTCAGACGACGGCTCCTTAACGCATTTCAGAACAGCAGCGTCTGCGGGTAATGAAATTTTTTAATTAAATCTAATTTTCAGCTGTCACATTCTAACATACTGGAAGAGTTTTTTAAAAATGCTTTTCTTTTTTATTACTCTCAAACAAAAAAAAACAAGACTTTTTTTTTCTATTCATCATTTTTTTTTCAAATACAAAGGGGTATAATGATGTTGTATGTGAGTTATGTCCCATTACATGCTAAATCGTCATATTCTGTACAACACTTTTTTTGCTTTATTTTCTATCATCTCAACACTCCTGACATATACAAAGAAAAAACGTGTTATCGTTAATTCGACTTCATAGATCTTGGATACACTTAATTTAGAATTTAGTTTTTATGAAAGGGAAATTCTATTCATGATTTTTAAAAATTACTTCCCTTTATTCGTCCCATCTGCTGTCAAATACTTATCACTTCTGTCACGTTTGTATAATAAGCCTATTTATTCCATTCAATTTTTTTCTGTTTCTTTTAAATACAAAAAATGTTTTCGTTTTACAAAGAAATAGTTTAAACCAATGTTGAGTGATTTCCCTTGATACATTAACTTAGTAAAGAAGCCCCCACACGCAGAGGCGTAGCGACCCTTCCCGGCGCCCGGGGACATACTTTCAATTTGGCGCCCCCCTCGGGAGCAAATTTTCGATTTGCACCCCCCCCCCTCGAACTTTTCATTTGCACCCCCCCCCCTCAAACTTTCGATTTGCACCCCCCCTCGAACTTTTCATTTGCACACCCCCCCTCAAACTTTCAATTTGGCGCCCCCTCCCTAAGGTCGGCGCCCGGGGACAGATGTCCCCCCCCCTCGCTACGCCTCTGCCCACACGACCGAATCATCATCTTTTTCCGTATTAGCCCAAGACACATGGGACAGATGAAATAGAGTGTACTATTAAATATATGTGTAAGGAAGTTCAGTTTTTTTTTTTCATTTAATTTCTTTTTTTTTTATTTAAAGATTAAATTTCGAAGGCCACAACAATAGATTTAGAGTCATATACTAAAGGTGAAGCTAAAAATAAATGTTTAACTTGGCGATTAGAAAAGTATGTTATCGCAACCACCATCTGGGCCTAAAGCCAGTAAAACACCCTTTGTTTATAATCATTCTAGACTTTAATCAAAGCAGCCCCCCTCCCGCCCTTATCCCTACCTCCGCTCCCCCCCCCCCTCGTTACGCCATAGTTACTCACTGCATCAAGTAATTGAAAGGGCGAATAAACACCGCCAAGAAAAGACAACCGCGCAATGGCATGCTGTAGGTGAAATATTTCACGAGTCGCCTCTCTTAGCATGTTGGATCTATCCCTTTGCCAGCTCTGCTGTGACGTCACATGTTTACGATCAACCTTGATCTCGTGGCATTCTAAAGCTTCTAGAATACTCGAACACACTTAGACGGAAGGGAGCCTTACTTGGGTAGACTTTTCATGATGCTTAGAGTCTAAATTTATACACGGCGCCCTATTTTAAAACTTGAAAAAAAATGATATACACCATAAATATATAACTTTTATACGCGCAACGTCACTCTAAAGAATCTACTTTCATCTGACGTCTCAACAATCGACGTTGCAACAATCTACTTTACAAACCATCTATGTCTAGCTACCAACCCCTCCGTTTCACCCAACACCTCCATCCCACCCCAACCCCCTACAACATCCTCAACCCCTCAGAATCACCCCTTACCCATGCGTCTCACCACCAAACCATTCGTCTCACCACCAGCCCCTACGTCTCACCACCAACCCCTACGTCTCACCACCAACCCCTACGTCTCACTACCAGCCCCTACGTCTCACCACCAGCCCCTACGTCTCACCACCAACCCCTACGTCTCACCACCAACCCCTACGTCTCACCACCAGCCCCTACGTCTCACCACCAGCCCCTGTGTCACCACCAACCCCAACGTCTCACCACCAGCCCCTGTGTCACCACCAACCCCTACATCTCACCACCAGCCCCTACGTCTCACCACCACCCCCTACGTCTCACCACCAGCCCCTGCGTCTCACCACCAACCCCTACGTCTCACCACCAGCTCATACGTCTCACCACCAACGTACGTCTCACCACCAACCCCTACATCTCACCACCAA